ATAATCAAATCCTTCTGTTAATAATTAAATTAATATCGGTATGTATTAGTTAGTTTTCACACTGATATACAGAAATGCCCAAGACTGGGTAATTTGTAAAAGAAAGAGGTTTAATTGACACATAGTCCCACATGGCTAGGGAGGCCTCAGGAAATTAAACAGTCATTGGGGAAGGGGAAGCAAGGTACCTCCTTCACGAGGCAGCAGGAAAGAGAAAAGTGAAGAAGGGACCTTCAAACACTTATAAAACCATGAGATTTCGTGAGAACTCACCCACTATCACTAGAACAGCATGGCAGAAACCGCCCCCATAATCCAATCGCATCCCTCCCTCAACACGTGGGGATTACAATTTAATATGATATTTGGGTGAGGATACAGAGCCAAACCATAACTCTCCTAAGGTAAATATATAATGCCTAAGCTGGCATTTTATTCTGCTTGCATATTTAGGACCTTGAGAACTGTGACTTTCTACTATATGATATCAGATTCAAGAACTACAAGGTTTAAGAAAAATATTTATTTAGAGAATCAATATGTTATACCATTTATTTTTACGATTTCTTGTTTCTTGACATTGTAATGCAAATATTATTTGATTCATAGATATGCATTTGTGGAAATTCTGCGTCTTTTCACACAACCACGCTACATTTTATTTCCCTTCACTCATTGCTTATCATATGACAGGGCTCCCTCCATGTCTTTCATTTGCTACCTGAGAGAGCCCAGCATTGCAACTTCAGCATTTCTAGCTCTCTCTTTTAACACCCAACCTCATCCTTCACCCCAAAATGACATATTTTCTTCACTTGTTAACATTAAACCAAATCCTAAAATCATAACATATGGTCAATAAGCGCTATCTACGCTTCTAACTTTTGCTAAGGGTCTTCATATAAGCAATTTTATTAAAGATTTATAGACTCATGGATTACTCAAGATCAAATGATCCATAATAATGAAACCTGTCATTGCACAGGTGAAAAAATTAAGACCGAGGGAGGTAGGTGGCTTGCCAAGGCTGATTAATGAAATGGGCATATGTTAAATTTAAGTCAAGTTAGAATGAGAGGGTATTTTGTGGTTTTTGGTTTTTTGCTCACCATTTTGGTGACATCATTTACTCTCTTTCAGAAATCAATGTAAATCCTGAAACATGGAAGTTTTGTTCAAATTATTTTGTTAAAATGAACAATATGATTAACTTAAACAGAAAACTAAGTAGACCATAAATGAGTAAATGGATGTAGCAGCAATTAACTTATAGTTATTAGGAAAATGAGACTATTGAGCTTTCATATGAGACTGATGCTAGAGACATACTGAAGGCTACAGTGAAAGTTAAATCATGAATACAAGATAATAGTTCAGGTGGTAAGAAGATGATATGATTCAAAGGCCTAGAAGTGAGTCATCTAAAAGAACACTAGCAATAGTATGAATTCCTCTTTAGTTATTAGTTTAATTTTCCAGCTCATAAAAACATAATAATATTTATAATTATATGAAACTAACTTAGGGCCTTGAATCTGGAACCTTTAAAACGAATGATTCTGAGGAAAAAAAAAAAAAAAGAAAACTTGAGTTTGTTATATGTTATTCAACTTTCTTCATTTCCCTGAGTTCCAAAATACAATTTTTTGCTTCTTAAGGGAAGGGGGTGTGACCCTGTATAGGATGCAGTTAGAAACTAAATAAATTTTTAACTCAGATTTTTAGAATTGCATATTTTTTTGAAAAGATGAGTCTATGGAAGTCATATATTTATTCCAGTGGAGTTGCTGTTGGAAGACCAATTTCTGAAAATGTTCAGAGTTTTTCAGCCAGCTTAGGTTTTGTACTTTATTAATGGAAACAGGTTGTATCACCCTATTTGTTAATAATTTAAAACAACTAACTGTAAATGACCTTCGGTGTATCAAAAAATTAGATGTAGGCTCAAAGGTTAATCTTTTCTGCACCTAGAATATTCAGAATAATGTGCCTAGTTGTGCTCTTCCCAGATCTAGTTTCTTACATGGGGCATTCCTCTTGCCACAGTTGCCAGACAGCCATTCTCATAGCCTGAGCCAAGTACACCTTTCCCTAATCATGTCGCTTCGCACATCTTCACCTATACGATGACTACATGAGTTCACTTCTCTCTTAGAAACACGTTGCTCTCTCTTAAATGGGGCCTTCAAAATGTAATTAAAAACCAACCAACAACAGATGATTTCCATGTATATATAATTTATATAAGTTTACATATTATGTATCATACATGGATATTAAATTAAGTGTTAAGTTTTTAATGTTATTTCTTCATCTTCTTGGCTAATTTTTCTAAGAACAAAACAAAAATTTCAATAGACTGTGAAGAACACTAATTCTGAGAACAATCTCCGATGTCAAACCAAACACATTCCGAATCATAGGAAACATTTTTATTATTATTATTTTAAGTCCTGGCATACATGTGCAGAATGTACAGGTTTGTTACAGAGGTATATATATACATGTGCTATGTTGCTTTGCTGCACCTATCAACTTGTCATCTAGGATACATTTTTATAAAAGGAGTCTGGAAATGCAAAAATCTCTTCCATGATGAATAGTGATATTACATGTATGTGGAAAGGTGATATCACATATAATTGGACTTATATAAATTTGTAGAAGTACTTTTGTATTCCCATAAGACTAAGAAATGCATTTGTATATTGTTGGTGATTATATTTCACTCCAGCAAATCCTGACCAGCATCAAAACTAAATAAAAAGTACATTTTTTATTGATATACTTTAGGAATATGAACACATTTATTTAGTGTTCCATATGGTTAAAACTGGAAGGAATAAGAACAACTAATCTTGTTTTGCTTCAAAATTTATTTTACAAGTACATTACAATTTTACTTTTTGAGCTCATTTCAATGTCACAAATTTCTAATAAATCTTCAATTTTTTTTTTTTTTTTTTTTGAGACGAAGTTTCACTCAGGCTGGAGTGCAGTGGTGTGATCTTGACTCACAGCAACCTTTGCCTCCTGGATTCAAGCAATTCTCCTGCCTCAGCCTCCTGAGTCAAGGGGATCACAGGCATGCACCACCATGCCTGGCTAATTTTGTATTTTTAGTAGAGACGGGGTTTCTCCGTGTTGGTCAGACTGGTCTCGAACTCCCAACCTCAGGTGATCCACCCACCTTGGCCTCCCAAAGCGCTGGGATTTCAGGCATGAGCCACCATGCCCAGCCAAATCTTCAAATTTTTAAAAAATTTACTTCTAGTTATATTTACTCTTAAAAAGAAATTAAAATATTTTCTAAGTTGTAAATGTTATATTTATAAGAGAAATTTATTAATACAACAATTTTTAGTTTCCAGATCTCATTAGGGTTTTTTTAAGTTATATGTGTTAAAAAAGAAGAATGAGATGAAGTATAAAAGAGATACAGAGTTGGGATATAAACCTAAGCATAAAGAACATATACATCCTATTTTTTTTTACTATAATCCCCTTTTGCTCTAATAAAATACTTTTCACTGATTAGAAGCCCAAACTTGCTTATACTTTCTCCTAATGTATCTGAAGAGCAAATAACTTTGCATAATTTCATGTCTTGTTTGAGTACACACAGTGAAAGTTCAGTGCAAGTAGAACGTTTTATTTTTTTTTTAATTTCTCTCTGCTACATTTTTGTAATTTATAAATCTTGAAGTGTTACGGAATAGTCCAAGTTTTTCAATCATTGTTTTATTTCTCGCTAGGATATCATGCCAATTGTTTTTCAGGAAAAATTTGCATATTAATTTTTTCTCATTATATCTATTATAAGATGAACTTTGTAGCGAAGCAAGGTTTTAATGTGGTCTTTTGGCAGAATGTACAAAACTGAAATAAAGAGAACATATTTGGAACTATGATAGGCTTCATGAAAATCTTTTCTGAGAGAGAGAAAGAGAGACAAAATAATCAATGTGTAATGCCCAGCCCACCCAAACTCTGGCAAAATTTGAAATACATAGTTCAAACTTCTTTACTTATAATGAAAGTCCTTAAAATGCGTCTTGATAGTCTTTTGGGACCACTGTTTGTAGATTTGACATATTCATGAAAAGAAAACAAAAGGCACAAAGAAAAAAAAGTTTCTAGTAAAACATCTATTCTCATCCTGACATAGGCATCAAATTACTCTCTCCATAAACAGTTGTAATAAACGAATATTGATTTACTACAGGACTTCTAAATATTAAATGTTTTTATATGAATTCTCAGTTACTTTTTTTTCTAACTTTTAAGCCATTTTTCTGACTCTCTGTAAATTGTTCACACAAATAGGCAAAGGAATAAAGCAATTTAACCAAAGTGGAGAAACAAACAATTGTAAGTGTAGGTAGCAGAAGAGAATGGATTTTTTTCAAGTTATTCTATATCAAAGCCGCGTGGATCTATTTTAAGACACTTTTACACAACAAAAGGAGATTTGCTGTCACTAACCCTAGTCATTTGGCTTTCTAAATACTGGTAAATGCTGGAAAATTGGAATTCTTTGTTTCTGTTTTCTCTAAAAGTAAGCCACTCTTACTTTTAGGCACCCAGTGAATTAGGTGTCATCTCTTATATATTGTTCCTAATGGAATGTGAGGACGGCTTTTAAGAAGGTGTGAGTCCTTCTTAAGATGTGTGAGTCCTTTATTGCTGAGCAAGTGTTGCTTCTGTTTCTGAGGCTATGAAAAGGGTCCGCATGAAGAAATACAGCTATCATTTATATGTGACTAGCAGAATATATTTAAGGGACATATTCCTGTTTTATTAGAGGCAAGCCTTGAGAGAGAAATCAAAAGATTATAATGAAAAATATGGCATGAAATAATACATTAAAAATGAGAATCGTTTGTTGATTCTAATGTATCTTCAGGAGTTGGAATGGCAGTGGAGGAGAGGAATGAGCTAATATAAATGCATGTTCTTAAATAAATATGCTCAATATGCTTGCTTTATTTTTTTAACAGGATGAAAGAAGCAGGAGTAGACCATAGGCAATGGAGGGGTCCCATATTATCCACCTGCAAGCAGTGCCCAATGGTCTATCCCAGCCCTGTTTGTGGTTCAGATGGTCATACCTACTCTTTTCAGGTAAAGACACCTATAGTTGTTTAGTATGAAATAAGTGATGCATACGTATTAGTAAATGATTAAAACTATTGGTTATCTAATGTGATAATTCAAATTACTCATTTACTTTATAAAATAATATGAATAATCTCACTGGTTTGGAATATGATCCAATATGTATTTGTTTTTTTCATATCAGAATTTTTAAGGTTTGAAATACTAAAGCTATGAACCCTCAAATATCAAAGCCAATCTTTCCTTTGCTGCTACTATGAAAGGTGCCAGAAATGTTAGCATGCTATACAATAGCTTTAGTGATCAATATTATTTTGGCAACAATAAATGTGCTACAATCTGTCACTACAATTACTTTTTTTAATCTCATATTTTATCTCCTATATTATCTCATTTAAGCCACCAAAAAAAACCTCTTTACCAGATGAAAAAACCGGGATCAGAAAGGCAATTTGGCAAGTTTCACATATTTAGTTGACACTGAAGCTAGGATTTGATATAATCTCTGATTCAATGCCTTTGCTCTCTCGTCTACATTATTCTTCCTCCCAATTAAGTGTCCCATATTGTTAAAATATTTTGGAATTTTTACAAACTTTGCCTAAATAAGACATTGATAAATTTCCTTAGCTTATGTAACAGAAAGGAAAGAGTTCAGACTCACTGTCTTTTATCTGAAACCCTAGGGACTGGATACATTTAACAATTTAGATTTAAGAAATATGTATTTTAGACAGGGAGTGTAGCATATTATGCAGTGTCCCTAGAAGAAGCTTACCCTATAATTAAATTATTAAGCCAGGTGCAGTGGCTTATACCTGTAATCCCAGCACTTGGGAGGCCAAGGTGGGCAAATCACCTGAGTCAGGAATTTGAGACCAGCCTGGCCAACATGGTGAAACCCCATCTCTACTAAAAATACAAAAATGCATCAGGCATGGTGGTGGGCATCTGTAATCCCAGCTACTTGGGAGGCTGAGGCAGGAGAATCACTTGAACCAGGGAGGCGGAGGTTGCAGTGAGCTGCGCCATTGCACTCCAGCCTGGACAACAAGAGCAAACCTGTTTCAAAAAACAAAAACATGTTAATATCCTTTTAAGCAACAATTTGAATATTCTTGTTAAAGAGTGTACGTGAGATCTATAAATAACCTTTTCTTAGTTCATATCTGATTGTGCTTGCTGCAAAGTTATTTCCAGAATTTTTTTACCTTTTATTAAAATGCTTTGGTTTTGTGGATACCTGCTTATGAATCACAATTTGACTGAGCAAATATTTCCCCAAAACTTCCACTTGCCTTTTACAATTACAAATCTGGGCAAGTGCACTACAATGCTCTTAATTAATTCAGTCACTAAATACATACATAGTACATACTAGGTGCCAAGTACTGTGTATCCTTAGTGAAGCTGTCTTATGTCTACCTGCTAAACTTTTATAGATGTATATAGAAGCGGAGTTATTGCTAGGGGAGGAGTGTGTCAGGGGTCCTTTCAACATGGTCTTGATGTTGGTGAATTTAACATGGTATAGGTAGGGCCTTGGCTTTGCAAATTTAGTGAATTCATGTTGTCAGTACAAGGGAGAGTGAATCTATCTCATATTATAAAATCCCACGTGGAAACGATGTATAAATCATTTTACTGATTTGTTGACTTATAATGAAGGATGCAGATTGTAATATTCAAACTGATAGAAAGAGCTACAGAGGAAGCAAATTTTAATTCTAATTTTATCTGGTGATTGTAGATGATTGAACAAATGGAGTCAGTGGTAGAGAGATTGGAAATTTTTATTGGCATCCACCTAAGTAGAACTGTGTCTTTCTCAACATTGGAAATATGTGCCAGAAGTTTGTGCCTAGGGTGTCATCATTCCCAAAGAGTGCTAACAGAAGTCTGCTGGCTTCTGCTGACATTTTTGGGACTCTTTTTAGGTTGCTCTTAGCAGGTGATCCTTCCTTTTCCAATTTAGTTTCATAGGACACCAAGTTATAATTAGAAGTGGAATCCTATTTGATGAGACTTGACTGATAATGTTAGAGTTACTTAGCATGTAAGAAATAGCCCTCAGATTCTCATTCAAGACTAAAAGCACCTATTATACATAGATTAATTCAGGTATATCTTCAATTTTATGGGGTTTCCTCATTGTTCGCCTTGGGCATGGGGCACACTGTGATACCTTGGCTTATAAATCATCTAATTTTATTAGTATTATCAACACAACCAATCTTATAGATAATTCATATTTGAATTATTATTTTAATATTTATTTGCATAAATGTCACTTTTAACAAATGCTTTCTTTACATAGAAAGACATTACACAAAGCATGATTCAAGTGAATATAGGTCTCTAATAACCCTAAATCACCATTTTTATTTCTGTTAATTCTAATCTAACTTAGTGAGTTTTCCACTTTGGACCATCCATCCTAATCTTAAACTTTGGCATTGACAGCGATGAGACTGAGCTGTATAAAACAATGAAAACTAAGTAGAACTCTTAACCCAGTAACAATTTAGGTGAAACTATCCTTACTAATCTTTTCTTAAGAGTTTATTTGATTTGAATCTCAAATTAATGACTTCAACATGTTGGTGATTTTTTGTTTCTCCCTCGTAAGAAAGTATTGCCCTAGGCTATTTAGCTACTGGATCAAGAACAAAGACCACAGAGGCCAGTACCTTCTTGTAAATGTCATCTTATTATGTTCCCAACATCTGCTTATGAGAGTTGAAAATAGAATATAGGTAAAAGATCACAAGATCTTTCTTCTGGCTCTTGAATCACTAAATTTTGTCAATAAACTTGCAAATTATGACAGGGCAGATGTAAACACATTCCAACAATAATGATGAGCTCCAAATTCTAAGCTCAGTGGGGTCCATGAAGCTCCTTGCTTGAAGTTGTAAATCCTCCCCTGAGTAGTCCTGATATGTTAAGATAAACCAGAAGCCAGATATGATGAGTCTTGGATGTGGGGCCCTACATTCCGTGTGGAAGTGTGATCTTGCTGTGGAAGCCTTTCCTATTCATCTGCTGAATTGTCGACACATGCATTGATACAAAGGGGTTTTTTAACACTACAAATAATATTCCTACAAGTTCTATTTTAGACTCACAATGTTTGTTCATTACTTTCAGCTCATTTTATAGAGAGGAGATTATAAATGATATTTCCATTGCACATCCTAACTGGAGGTGAGGTCATTACGAAGTACAATAGGTGAAGGAGCTGGGGGATGTGGTGGGAAAGAGGCATATCAGAAGGTACACAAAGAAAGACTGTAGCCAAATGACATAACTAAGATATAATTTTGAAAGGTAAATTTCATTATGCAATGTGATCAATTTTGAATAATTATTTTATTTGAGTTCAAGCTTTTAAGTTAATTGGCATTTCTAGAAATCCTCAGCAGAGTATTTTAAAAATGCATAGACAAAAAGAAAAATGAACAGATGAGGAACTATGGATAAATAGGCTTACTTGAAAAAATATTGGGACATTTGTGATTTTCATAAAAAGTATTTTTGGAACATTGTCTTTTTTCCTATTAAGAAAAATGATTTACTTTCTTTAGAAGCCTATTTAATCTTTCTTTTTAAAAGAACCAGTCTTCTCTGAATCCTTTCAAATTCAGCAATGCCAGAAAAATCAAAATATAAGTCTGTTCAAGGTTGTTTGAGAGGTAATCATTCTTGAAATTGACACAAAAGATGAAGGCCTTCATGTCTTTACTTCAGGCAAAGTCTATTTTGATTGTATTGTCAAGCTTCAGTAAGAACTAGGAATTGTTCTTCAATACCGCATTTATGTTAGATCATGGATATATTTCTCACTTTGTTATGTAAAATGTACATTACATTTGCTGTGAGCACAAGTCAATAAATAATACTAATGTTTCAGACTTGAGTAGAACATGTGTAATATAAATTCCCTGAGGACAACAGTGGATGATTTTAAATTCTTTTCTATCATATTTTTAGTGATGCGCTGCTTGGCAATTGAACTAAACAATCGTGAATTCCTTAGAAATGAATATTGTTCATAAAATTGTGTGTGCGTGTGTGTGTGTGTGTGTGTGTGTGTGGTTTTGAAGGAAGGCAAATATAAAGCTTACCTATTTTAGACTGCAGTTTTCCAAATCCAGCTGTAAAGATGCTACTTAACTTGATTTGGAATGAGGTCCCATGAATTGGAATTTTTAAAACTTCTCATGTGACTTTTATGTGTAGCCATGGCTGAGAATCACGTGCATCCCTTCAAATTATTGCCTTTGAATACTTAAATAAAAGATAGAGGTGTGTGTGCGTGTGTGTGTGTGAACAATAACATTAGCCTTAAAGGAGAAGGCCTAATTTTTTTATTACTATTCAAAAAATTTCTATTTTCTTTTCTTTTTTTTTTTTTTTTTGAGACGAAGTCTCACTCTGTTGCCCAGGCTGGAGTACCATGGCACAATCTAGCTCACTGCAAGCTCTGCCTCCCAACTTCACGCCATTCTCCTACCTCAGCCTCCCAAGTAGCTGGGACCACAGGCGCCCGCTACCACGCCTGGCTAATTTTTTTTTTTTTTTTTTTTTGTATTTTTAGTAGAGATGGGGTTTCACTGTGTTCGCCAGGATGGTCTCAATCTCCTGACCTCATGATCCACCCACCTCAGCCTCCCAAAGTGCTGGGATTACAGCCGTGAGCCACTGCACCCGGCTCAAAAAGTTTCTATTTTAAGTTTCAACATGCTACTATAATGTTTTAACCTTTCTGTCATTTATTTTTTTTTCCATATTTGAGGCATGTTCTTACTTTCTCTTAATAGTTACTAATTCTAGCAACCATATGCACATTTTGAAAGGTAGATAATTTCTGACTCCTAATCATGAGAAATTTGATATGTTATACTTTTTAGTGTTTAGTTGTTCTATCTTCTTTCCTCTGAATATTTAGAGCTGAGATCATTTGATTTTGGAAGATCCACTATCAAAAATGGATGTGCACTCTT